CCTTGCCTTTCCAGGTTGGTGTCCTTGTGTTCCTTTCAAGCCCATCCAAAAGCGGGGACTCTGCAGCAAAATTACCGCTGCAGCCAAGACTCTTGTTATGGCCCCTCGTATCCAAAGCCTTGTTTCCTTCTGCAGCCAAGACTCTTGGCATGGCCACGGCACAGCCAAGTCGTCCAGAGCCTGCAGTGTCCTTAGGTGGCTGTGGGTCAAAAATGGGGTAACCCCAGAATGGCTTGCCCTGGTAAATGGAAACATGGACAATTCAACCTGCGGTCCAATTCCTGGTTCAATTTTGACCCACACCCAGGTGTTTCCTGTTGTTTCCCTAGGCTTTTCTTCATTTGTGGTTTTGCTTGGGCCCTTTTGGAAGCTTGCGTGGGGAGGACTGGACTATCCTCCAGGGCGTTCCCTGCGCAGACCATCTCAGAACTGGAGCAGATGGGAATTTCCACTGTTTCACCAAAACAAAAGCTAGTGCGATGGCCAAAGATGGTGCTTTTCCCGGGCTGGTTTCTTGAACCTCCCCCCCTTTCTTTTTCGTTTCTTTCCTTCGCAGGCGAAAGAGGGCTGCAGCCCGCAGGCAGGCGAAAGAGGCCAAGTTGGCGAACACCGAAGGCGAGGAGCCCGTGGAACTCGCCGACGCGGTTTGGCTCCCATGGATTTAGGCCTATGCCCCCCTCAGTTCTTCAGTGGCACCAATGATTTTCCCCTTTTTTTGGTGGCTGCCCCACTAAAAATGGTCCAAGCCCCAAAAAGGGCTCCATGTTTTTTTCCCCGGGGCACTGAACAACTGAGTCCCCCTGCAGACTCATAGGGCACCAGCTCCCTACCAGCCCCCTGGCAGCCATGAGCGTGTATTTCCAAACCTGAGGCTGAAAACCTCTATAAAGATGTTGGTACTAAGAGTCAATCACTGTGCGCTTGACCAGTGCAACAGCTTGCAATTGAATCAAGCAATAGTCTAGAAGCTATAGCTGCTGAATCTCGTCTCATTTGGCCGCTCTGTATTCATGTGTGTGTGTGTATGTGTATACATATATATATGCTCCCCCCTCCCATGATCCACGCCTCGTTTTGTTAAGCCCCTGTTTATGCAACATCTTTGTTGCTTCCCCCCCCCCCGCCGGAATAGTCAAGTTGTTATTCAAAAAACAAGGGTGTTGCTGTAACAAATGCATGTACAATGCACTTTCCAGCTTCTAAAAACGATGCTCTAAATGTCCACTCCTTTTAAGACTTGAATTCTAGTATCAGTACTTAGTGCGATCCAGGATGTGCCAGCACGTTCTAGCACATCCTGGATTGCCCTAAGTACAAGTTTGAAGATTTCCTAGGAAAAGTTTGCAATCTTCAGTCTTCAATCCAGGATGCGCTAGCACATCCTGGAGGTGCCTAAGTATGGATTTGAAGAATCCAAAAAAGGCAGACAAGGAGCGCATGTCCCAAGAGTCTGTCAAGGGTTTGGGGACTTGAGGGCTGGCCAGGATGGACGACTCTCAAAAACAAAAGCTGGGAGATCTTCAATCTTCAATGCAAGTGGGACAGTCTTAAAGAGACAACACTGTCAAGGGTTTTGTCGGCCAGTATGTGCACTCGTGGATATTCAGCCTTCGATCCAGGGCAACATGATCTGAGTGAATGCTGAAACCACTGCATTTGTCTGCACTTTTCGGTTCTTGACTTGGCGCAGTTCGTGCCTGGTAAACCACATGGAGTCAGAAAAGGACAATAACCCTTATGAAATTGAGCTTGATTCCAGTTTTAGCTGGCATGACAATACGTAGCTGTGTGCTCGAGTTTGCTTGTTGAAATGCACAAGAAGCTGCAACCGGTTAATGTTGAATTTGGCTTGAATTCGATATTTTTTAATTGAACATCTTTCCTATATTGGAATTTCAATAGTTGTTATTGACAATGGTTGAATCGTATTAGACGAGTAACACACAGCTGAGATAGCTGCTATGCAATTTGGATTTAAGTACACTTAGTTGGAATGTGTGAGGAATTATGTACAAATGAACTTATATATATATATGATTTGCATGTCAGTTGCAACTTGGCATTGAACTCCTTTCCCTCATGGGGTCCCCGGCATGAGCCCCCAAAAGGGGTCCCCCAAAAGTAATGTGCTCTTTGCTCAAATGGTACCTGAAAAACGCTATGTAATCTCTTTTTGCCACATAAATGGACATTGCTCAAATAGTGACTAAAAAGCTAGATTTGCTACATTTTGTTCTTTGGGCACATGAACCTTGATGCTGCCACTTCATGTTCAAGGTCAGCAGTTTATCATCTTTGGCAATGGACAATTGGCATGATGACCCAAATGCTACTCAACTACCTCAAAACACATCCTAATTTGAAGATTTTGGTCGCATCTGCTCAAATGCTGCTCAAATGCTACTCAAATGCTCCTCAAATGCTGCTCAAATACTCCAAAATTTGAAGATTTTGGTCGAATCTGCTCAAATGCTATTCAAATGCTACTCAAATGCTACTC